CTATTGTGACTTTACCTTTTTCATTCCTAATTGCATGGATTTGAGCCTTTTCTTTCCTTTTTGTTATAAGGTTGGCTAAGAGTTTATTGATTTTATGTATTCTTTCAAAAAACCAACTCTTTGATTCATTGATTTTTTTTTTGTAGTTCTCTTGGTCCCCATTGCATTGATTTTTGCTCTGATCTTTATAATTTCCTTCATTGTATGAGACTTGGGTTTGTCTTGCTCTCCTTTTTCTAGGAGCTTAAGGTTCAGCATTGCATTGTTTATTTGAGCTTGCTCTGTTTTCCTAGTGTGGGCATCCACTACTACGAATTTCCCTCATAAGACTGCTTTCATTGTGTCCCATAGATTCCAATACGTTGTATTGTCATTGTCATTTAATTGCAGGAACTGTCTGATTTCTTCTGTAATATTTTCTGTGACCCATTGGTTATTCAGAAGTATGTTGTTCAATTTCCATATGTTTATGAAATTCTTGAGGTTTATTTGTTATTGATCTCAATTTCATCACACTCTTGTCTGATAATATACAGGGAATTACTTCAATTCCTTTGCACTTACTTAAGCATGTTCTATGAGTGAGTATGTGACCTACTTTGGAGAATGACCATGTGCAACTGGGAAGAATGTGTATTCCGATTTTTGTGGAGTGGAACACTCTGCAAACATTTGTTAAGTTCATTTGTTCAAGAGTTTGATTGAGTTCTAGTATTTTGTTGTTTATTTTATATCTAGTTGATCTCTTTGTGAAAGTGGGGTATTGAGTTCTCCTATTATTATTGTGCTAGTGATTATTTGATTTTTCATCTCTGTTAGTATTTGTTTTATATAGTTGGGCACACCAGTGTTTGGTGTATATATATTTATGATTGTCATCTCTTCTTCTTACATTGTTTCCTTTACATGGTTGTAGTGTCCTTCTTTGTCTCTCTTAATCAGTGTTGGCTTGAAATCCACTTCATCTGCAAAGTAGCTACTACTGCTTGTTTTTTTGGTTCCTGTCCCATGGAGTATTTTTTTCCACTCTTTAAATTTCAGTCTATGAGTTTCTTCTTGAAATAGGTGCATTTCTGGTATGCAGCACATTACTGAATCTTGCTTCTTTACCCATTCTTCCAGTCTATTTCTTTCGATTGGTTAATTGAGATCAATAACATTGATGGTTATAGGTGATATGTTTTGACTTATCTTTGTCATGGCTTTTTCTTTTCTTTGGATTCTCCCCATTTGCATTTAATTTTTTGTCATGCCTGATTGATTCATTCTGCTGGGCTTCCTGGGGTCAGGATCCTCATTGTCATTTCCTAGAATATCATTTAAAAGTTTTGGAGTGCTGGTTTGGTGTTCATGAAGTTCCTAAGGTGTTCTTTGTCATCATGAAAGTATCTTATTTCTCCATTAATTTTGAAAGATAGTTTTGGAGGGTACATCAGTCTGGGTTGGAGGCTGTTTTCCTTCAAGGCCTGAAATACATCACTCCAAGCTCTTCTTGCCTTGAGGGTTTGTGTTGAGAAATCTGCTATGATTTTGATGGACTTTTCTTTGTATGTGATTTGTTTCTCTTCTCTGACTGTAGAATTTATTCTTCTGTTAGGTTTCTGGAATCTTAACTATGTGTAGACTTTTTTTTTTATCATGGCTACCTGGAGTCTTATACACCTCACATATCTGTATGTAAAATTTGTTTCACCTACTTGGGAAGTTTTCTGCCATTACTTCTGTGAAGTTGTTTTCAATGTCATCTGAACTCTCTCCTGTTTCTTAATTGACTAGGAACAGTCTGATATTATTCTTCTTTGCAGTATCTGGGAGCTGTTGGATTAATTTATCATGGTTCGTTAGTATTTTTAAGAAATTTTTCTTTTCCTGGTCACTAATTGCAATCCTGTCTTCTACATCTGAAATTCTATCTTTGTATTGGCTCATTCTGCTGTGTAAACTTTCAATGGAATTTTTAATCTCTTGGAAATTTGTTTGCATCTGTTTTATGGTTTCCATTTGTTTTTTATGTTGGGATTACATCGCATTCTTCAGCTCTTCTATTTGTTTATCTGTGTCCGCTCTAGATTTATTAATCATGTCTTGCACTATGGGCACAATCTCTGCTTTTATCTGAGAAATTCTTTCTGATTTCATTTTTTCAGATCCTTTCTTGTTGCCAGTTCAGGGAATCCAGGTGGTTGAGTATCAGGCTCCATCTTGTTTCTCTTTGGGGTTACCTTAAGTAACCTGAAAGTCTGGTTTGGTGTTTGTTTCCATGTCATCTCATTTCAACAGATGCAGCCTGCTGTGCCTTTATTGGGACAACTTTTTTCTCACCCAGTGGTCTTCAATTCTCAGCAAGCCACCAAGAAGCCTTTACTCTGCTCCTCACCAGCACACCAATCCCTGGGTTCAAATCACCAATGCCATGGGGTGGGCCTCTCACTGAAGCTTGTGTGCCTGCGAAGCTCTTTCCTGTGAGGGCCTTGGCTGGTTGGGTTTGCCAAGTCTCTGGGGTTGGGGTGGATCCCTCACTAGGATCTGCCTGCAGCCGGGCAGGTGTGGACCACAGTGCTGCTCCCCAGGATCTCCTCAATCTCATTTATTGATATACATGATATGGTATAGACCACAGGGTTCCCTATTATGCTGGGCTTCTTAAATTCCATTCCAAATGGATGCCACAAGTTCTGAGATTAGGCTATTATACTATCAAGTCTTTTCAGCTGACTTTTAATATACCAAATGTTCAGGTTCTTGATGAAGAGTTTAACCTTAGTTTGGACCACAGTGTACATGACCGAAATCATTGAAAGACTGAGACATAGCTGAACCAAGGAACACTACAGGGTTTTATTTATTTATTTATTTGTTTGTTTGTTTTTGGTTTATTGAGACAGGGTCTCACTATGTAGTGAGACCGACCTGGAACTCACTAAGTAGCTCAGGCTGGTCTCGAATTCACAGCGATCCTCCTGCTTCAGCCTCCCAAGTGCTGGGATTACCACCCCTGGCCTACAGGTTTTTTTAAAAAAAATAAACCAAACATTGACAGGTGTTACCCACAGATAGAGAACATTTTTTTATGTACGGAGGATTGAACTCCGGACCTTGTGCTTATGAGGCATTTGCGGCACCACTGAGCTAAATCCCTGGCCCTAGAGAAATGTTTATACTTCCTATCTGATGGCTCAGTTCTCCAAAAGGAGTAAATATTTCTATACTAAGAGAAAAATATCCCCTAGAAGGGAAAATATGGAACATTATGATGGCAAGATATGTGACAATGCTGTTGGAGGTGTCAGGAGTACACGGATGGAAAGTTGAGGAGGATCACCAAAGAAAATAGAAATTTTCACATACTACTCAAATAGTTATTTTGTAAGGTCGATAATCTGGAATTCCTTCATTGTTGGCTTTTGTGTTGGTCACCTCTTATATCCACACCTACTTTAGATCCACTCAACTAAACCATGTTAGAAGTCCAACAACATTAGCAGTAATAACTCTATGATTAATGCAACATACATCTTACTCTTCTCAGAAGACATAGAGAATAGAAAACAATCTTCCTTTTTAAGAAAATAAAGTATTCTCATTGGATATTATGAATTAGTCAAATATACATTATTATAATCGAAGACAACAGGAGAAATTCCTGTGACTTACAATATTTAAATCACTGTGTCAGAACTACAGATGTGCTATCTGTAGGCTGTTAAACTTGATGGCTCATAATCAGAAAATATTGTTATTTTCCATTTAGCCTCTAGGGGTTTCATCATTCTCTGAGTTCATGATCTCCCTGATTTTTGAATTTAATTCCTCACTCAAATTTTGTTTCTCATTTAACATGCATGTAATATACACTAATCATCTTTGATTTCAGTGGACTTCATATGTTGACAGATATGTACCAGTTAAATGCACATAGTCATATGATGTCACTGACTACATATGTGGCATTAGTGCATATTGCCCTGCCTCTGATTTAAAAATAAGAAACTATTGGAAACATTTCTGAATGTTTTACTTTACACATATTTTTTTTCATGACCCCTTTCATTCTTAGTAAAATATTTGTCATGAAAACTCTTATTTTTCTTTTATTGTCATTTCTTCCATATGCTCTAACAGTCTGGAAACACTTTTTCATCATTTTTCTGATTATAAATCCTCTTATACAGTATATGATGTAAATTTTAGCACGAGGAAAAGCTCAAGACTCCAGGTTTCAGCAGTCACCCTCTTATACTTAGCAGATTTCACATAGAGCCTGTCTGACACATAGTTGCAATTCTCTTAACTTCAGCTCCTTGGTGGATATACAGGTTTATTACTCAGCTCTCAATATAATTCTACTAGGGGAAATGCAATCTGAGAGTTATAGGAAATAATGTAAACACACCTGGGCTATTTCCTTATCAGTAAATGGAGATGATCAGTAGTTTATAGAGCTGTGCAAAATGGTATTTCAAGATTGCAAAGGTAGAGGATCTTGGTCTCATTTAGCAATATATTTAACTGGGAATATTTTCAAACACCCAGGTAATATTTCCTTAAACATGTTTCCGAGGACTATTCAGAATATGTTAATTTTATATTTTAGTTATTAAGAGTAAGACAGTGGGAGGACAGTCTAATTATAGGATCCTATTAAAGAAAATAGACCGCTTAGCTTAAGAGCTAATCCGAGTTCTTCCAAACCTTTGGACCCAGACTTCAACCAGACCAGAGAAAACATTATAAATGCAAGATAAGCAATTTCTTTTTGAACTCATTTTCTTTGAAACAGCCCCTCCAGTTCTGCCTATCTATATATGACCAAGACAAAGAAACCACATCGGACTCCTTTCCCCTCTTAGAATTCTATACTGAAACAGGACATAAGATTAAAGACACTAATCTTCTGAAATAATACAACCAAGGAGGCAGTATTTATAGATAAATTTTGGGTCTTTAGTTTTATCACATTTTCCAAACTACTTTCCAGGTTGATGCTAAAGGCCCTGGGATTACGCTCTCCAACTACGGAGTCTCTTCAGGCTGCTACTAATGTCCCTGTTCCTCAGGCTGTAGATGAAGGGATTCAGCATAGGGTTGACCACAGAGTACATCAGCAAGGGCACCATGTTCTTGCTGGAAGAATATGACACACCTGAACCAAGGTAACTTATAAGGCCTGTTCCATAAAATAAGCAAACAAGTGACAGGTGAGAACTACAGGTAGAAAATGCTTTGTACCTCCCCCCGGATTTTGGGATTTTAAGAAGAGAAGAAACAATTTTATAGTAAGATAATACAATCCCTAACACTGGAAAAAAGCCAAACATGGCAGTAATAATATAAGTAACTATGGTTCTGATTAAGGTATCAGAACATGAAAGGTCAAGGAGTTGAGAAGGGTCACAAAAGAAAGTAGCGATTTCCACATTTTTGAAACAAGTAATTTGTAAGGCAATTAAATTGTGCACCTGGGAGCCGAAGAGGCTAATGGAGACTGACAGCAAGAGTAATAAGACACAGAGGCGAGGGTTCATAATGGTTGTGTAATGCAGGGGATGGCAGATGGCCACAAAGCGGTCATAGGCCATCGCAGTCAGAAGCGTGTTGTCCATACATGCAAAAAGGATAAAAAGCGACATCTGTGTGAGGCAGCCCTCATAGGAGATGACCCTGCTTTGAGTTGAGATGTCCACAATCATCTTTGGGACTGTGGAGGAGGTTAAACCAATGTCAGCCAAGGACAGGTTGGAGAGGAAGAAGTACATGGGGGTGTGGAGGTGGGAGTCAGAGATGACGACCAGGATGATGAGCAGGTTCCCGAGCACTGTGACCAGGTACATGGACAGGAACAGTCCGAAGAGGACGGGCTGCAGGGCTGGGTCCTCTGAGAAGCTCATGAGATGGAACTCTGAGACAATTGTTAGATTATGTGCCCACATAGTGCTTGAACATCTTTTCGATAAGAAAATTCATTGGAAAAATGAAAACAGAAATAGCACACGAAGCTGTGTATATGATATGAATCCAAGTATTCACAAGCAATGTATTGCTGGATGAGGTCTAAGACTGTGGCAACATTGTTCCACTGTGACAAACTCAATGCTCAAGGACTCAGTGTATTGTTATCCACCTCGTTTTATACACTCACACATTACAGATACTCTACTTCACAATGTAAGCAGGCTAAGGACATTATTCAGAAGTCTTTGATTGCAGTAAAATTTAGACAACTCTTCTACCAAAAAAAAAAAAAAAGAATAGAGAGTTGTTACACCAACCCCATTTATGAATATATGATGCTATTGGATCACATTAGAAAGCATTCAAATCGTCCTTATTTTGTTCTCAGAAAATGGTACAGAATTCCTTGCCTTAGGATATGTACAAATAGTATACAATCTAGAGCTGTATTATCTGAAATTTAAAGTTAATTCTCCATAAAGAGAACACAGCGTGTTGAGCCAGTTACCTCATAGACTTTTTCATCATTAGGCTTTCTGACTTCCATCTTCCAAGGATGTGAGAGCCCACTCAGCCTTTGTGTATAAATTATTTAATAGGAAAGTTTTGTCTTTGTTTTTGTCGCACTCAAGTTATTATAGCAGATTCACAAATGCGCACGTGATCTTACAACATAATGACCCCAAATGAAAACAGTTCTGCGTATTGCACCTGTAAATAATTAAAAATAATGAATAATTGTCTTTAAATTTTAAACTGGTTTATTTTATCAAACAATGTCACTAAAATATCTGCTGCATACCTCTTTATCGATTCTATATCCCACTATAGGGTGATAATGTGTATTGTTGCTCTTCTGATCATAAACCCTCTTGTATCCAATTGAAAACACTGGAAACAAAGAGAGTCCCGAGGCCCTGGATGAGTCCAAGCTTGCTTAATTCCGACAGATTTTTCACATCAATTTTTCCAGATACGTGTTGTGTTTCTCTTATTTTATCTATATTAAAGAAATTGGGGCACATGTTTTTTGTCAGGACACACTGTGATTTAATTGGGAAAAAACATTAAATAAACTAATACAAAAAATAAGGTAAGCACACGTAAAATACAGCTGCAATAGAAAACACACAAATTAAACACTGTAAACACAACTGTAAATAATGTACTCCCTCTCCTCTGTAAAATGGGGATGAGAATTACCTATCTTATATGGTGGCTGTAGGACAGTATTTTGAAAATCATTTAATTTGCATCACTGCTTGATCTAATTTAGTAATATATTTATCTGGGGATATTTTAATCCAGTGCTTTTGATTGCTCAGCCATGCTACCTATCTGGGGATATTTTAATATATCCAGTTACCCTAGTATTAGGCCAATAAGTTTAACAAGAATATTAACATTTCAAGTTTTTTAGTCATTTGCTTAAATAAGATTTAAGAACCACTGTCTTAGAATATTTGCTGGCATTTACAAAATGCCTCATTAATATTTTCTTTGTAAGTATTAGCATGAGAATATTTAACAATATTTATACCAGCATTAATATCATTTAGAAATCTGAACAGTTACCTAAGAAAGTCGAAGGGCTGAGGATTTAGCTCAGTGGCGTGGCACCTGCCCCACAAGAGCAAGGCCCTGAGTTCGATCGTCAGTAACGGAGGGGGGAGAAAAAAAAGAAAGTCGAGTTCTTGATATCTTTCCATAATTCATTTCTGTTGCTCTCTTATCCTTAAAGGCATCTCTTGTCATGAATTTTATAGGTAAATTTTTCCCATTAGTGTTTGTAGGTCAAATTGATTTACGAATCTACAAGCAGTTTTTTTTTTAACTAACCTAGGTTTTTTTTTAAAACTTACCTAGGGGCTGGGGATTTAGCTCAGCAGTTCGGTGGCCTGCCTTGCAAACACAAGGACCCAAGTTCAATCCCCAGTACCAAAAAAACAAAACAAAAAAAACCCCCCAAAAAAACAACAACAAACCAAAAACCCAAAACCAAACAAAACCCAAACAAACAAATAGAAACTTACCTAAAAAGGATCTAAAATGTATCTCAGCAATGTATAACAAAACACTTATTACCCCTCAAATACACTACATTACAACCAAAAGTGGTTTTCAGTGTCCTTTAACTAATGTACAGCAGGGGGACAAAGAGAGAGAGAGAGAGACAGAGAGAGAGAGAGAGAGAGAGAGAGACAGAGAGAGAGAGAGGGAATATTTATCTTGTAAGTTAATTATTATGACAATCTTTCCAAATTCTTATGCCTCTCTCCCTGTCACTCGTGTGAAAATTGGTATATAATATATTGTGGGAATGCTTTTCTGATTTTCAACAAATAATGCATATAATATTTCAAAAATCCCCTGCCCTGTGTCAGTCATTATCACTTACTTCCTCTTATTCTCAGAAATACCTTCAAAGTATCCCTGGGGTCTTCCCAGTAACCATCTCCTTATGATAACACACCAAGAAATTTCATCACCATGCAGGGAATAACATTTTCACTTTGCTCCACGGTGGAGTTTGTGCCAAGGGATGGCATTGAAGAAACGGACATTTTCGTTCTGTGTCATTGATCTGTTATGATGGACAGAGTGTGTTGGGATCTCTCTTCCTCTCTGTGCTCATAACACTTGAGGAAAGTAAAGGAAAAAAAAAATTCACCTCCCCCTGTGCGGCAACGAAAGAAAGGATTTAGTAAGAGTGAGACTTTGGTTTTAAATTAAAGTATGAAGTAACTATGCAAGGAGGAAATTTGCTGACCTACAGCAAACTGTATTCAAAATGCATTGAAGGCAAGCGTGATATAAAGTTCTATACTCACCCGAATCTGATGCATACATTCACCTGCTCCCCCTGCCACTGAGTTAAATCCTCAGTTCCTGCTTTGTGCCTTTTTAAAGCCACGCATATCTGTTGCGTTTTTGAGATAGATTTGATTAAGTGGGTTACACAGTACGTGTATCCACGAGGTAGATGCAGAAGCTAGTTTATCTTGTCTCTGCATCTGTGGGTCGTATGTGAAAGGGATGAACATGCAGATAAGGACCTGCTAAGCAACTTCACATCGTGCTGATTAAGGACGGGTACTGTGGCTCAGGGAAGGGTCTATTCAATGTTGAACAAAAGTTTTTATTTTTATTTTATTTATTTATTTATTGGTACCAGGGATTGAACTCGGGTCCCTGTGCTTGCAGGGCAGGCCACCTAACCGCTGAGCTAAATCCCTCCCCCCCCTTTTTTTTTGGTACCAGGGATTGAACTCAGGTCCTTGCGCTTGCCAGGCAGGCCACCGAACCGCTGAGCTAAACCCCTGGCCCCCAAAGTTTTTATTTTTGATGTCTCCTCTGTACCAAACAAGGTACAGGTCTGAGAAATAAGATGTACAATGAGTATATCATTCCTCTCCAACCATATGCATACAATTGCACAAGTACAAAAATAAGATGTCCCACTACAGGAGTAGAAAAAGAATAACTTCAGGTCACAGGATAAATAATTGGTATGAAGATTATACTTATCACTAATGATAATGGTCACTAAATTTTATTTTGCTCTAATTTTATATTTATTAACCCTAAGTAGAATACCCCTTATCTATATGATCCTTAGTGCAGTTGTTTCAACTAGAAATCAAAACTAATGACAATGCTCTCTCAAAGATGTTAAAAACCTGTCCTGCATCACAGAAATAAGCGGAGCTGAAAGGATTAAAAAATAAATTGGCAGATGCTGTCCGAGGCACCGGTGTTTTTCATTATTTCCCGATCCATAGGAGGATTTAAGCAGAGGTTCAGAGTTCGTTGACTAAGGTGCTTCAGAGATACATTTTAACTCTCATTTCTTTCTTTTTTTTTTTTTTTTTTTTTTTT